TGAAATGAATGGTTAACTATAGTACCCAGGATTAACCAAATAAACCCTGCCTTCAACATACCAGATGCACTGTATCAATTTTCATTGGTCGAGAAAAATAACATTGTTTCCGGCCATTTGGTAAATGGAATACAAGTTATCCTATATTCACTTCCTTAAAAGTTCACTAGAAGTGAGAACTAGTCAGTATTGTTTAGAATTGCAAATGTAACTTACAGTAGCATTACCGTGTTTAGGCACCATGCAAACCACGCAATTGTGAGGTTTCAACCGAGGGGGCCCCTCAAGGGACTGCTTGCTTAGGGCCCCAAAACTCTAAACACGCCCCTGACTGCAAATGATTTTGATATTAAAATGTTCTACCTGCATTCTGTATTTCTGTAATAAGTGCTATTTTTCTTCAGTTGTACTTCTTTTCTTCACAAGAGTTGATTTAGAAATCACACAGAACAGAAACTGATGTAATGTCAAATGTTTTGAGATTTAAATGCTCATATGTGACCCTGGAGCACAAAAGCAGTGTTAAGTCGCTGGGGGATATTTGTAGCAATAGCCAACAATACATTGTATGGGTCAAAATAATCGATTTTTCTTTTATGCCAAAAATCATTAGGATATTAAGTAAAGATCATGTTCCGTGAAGATATTTTGTAAATTTCCTACCGTAAATATATCAACACTTAATTTATGATTAGTAATATGCATTGCTAAGAACTTCATTTGGACAACTTTAAAGATGATTTTCTCAATATTTTGATTTTTTTGCTCCCTCAGATTCCAGATTTTCAAATAGCTGTATCTCGGCCAATTATTGTCCTATCCTCACAAACCATACATCCATGGAAAGCTTATTTATTCACCTTTCAGATGATGATGACGAAAAATTGACCTTTATGACTGGTTTTGTGGTCACATATACCGGTTTAAAAACTGGAATAGGAGCATAAAAAAATAAAATCACTGTATTTGTTGATTGTTTTTCTCACTGGTCTTACCTGCCGTCTTTTTAAGTAGTCCAGTGCAATCTGTACATTCTGGAGTCTGTGGAAGCGCATGCGGCCCTTCTCCCGCGGCTGTGAGGAGAGGAGAGAGAGAAGACATCAGCGTATGCATCATCAGGCACCAGACACTCACCGTACCGTCAGCAGAGGAGGAGAAACTCACTGCGCTCATGCCTGGAGATCTCAACTACTGCACATCAGTGCCTAGCTAGCCTGACTGAAGTACATCAGGTTTCTTGCTAACTTCCCACAGGTTAACCCTATATCATATGATGCCTTGAAGGAACACAAGCCAAACGCAAGGTCAAAGATATGGAGTGGGCCGAGACGGGCAGCAGTGAAACGGGAATAAAGCAGATGGAAAGATCTGTAAATCTCCACTGCACAGCTCGGATGGAGTTTGTGGATGAACTTTTTCTCAAAGGTGCCAGTCAAACTTGATGTACAGTACAGTGTGGGGCTGTGGGCAGATTTAAAGAGAAATGAGAACGATTGAGCAGATGATGGATGGCTTGTGAAGAATCGTGTCGCCCTTTAAGGCTGGAAGTAAAGGACTGACGTGAGTTCCATGTGTTTTGTTCACAGAATAGTAAAAATGACCAAATGTTCTATCAATCAAAAGCAAAAGAGGTTTCTATCACACGAAATAGCACTTTTCATGAAAGACAAGTATGTGTCAACTTGTCAATTCATGACGGACATTAAAAGACCCCATGAAATGCTTCGACGGATACAGCAAAAACATATTAATATAAATAAAAAGTCATCATACAAAACACAAGTAAACAGTCAGCAATAAAAAAAAGAACAAAAGAAACAAATGACAAGCAATAGAGCGCTGCAGCGATGACTGATGGCTTTTAGATTATTGCAGAAAAATGCTTATGATTCTTACAGGTTTTGTTCATCATGATAATCTTCACAAATGAACACAACTAGAACTAACACTAAAAGCTGTACACAAACTACACCACAGTCACATCACTTCAGTGTTAAGCATTCGACCATTAGGCTGCCAACAACTCTTTCAGTCTTTATTTAAAAAGATAAAAAATCTATGAAATTATGATTTAGAATAGTTTGCAAGAGGAACAAACTCTGTAGTCCCATTTAGCCACTTGTTAGCAACCACATTTTTCAAGACAAATAAAATCATTAACAAATCACAACGGGGTTTTACTGATGTGTTTTATGTTGTAGAATAAATCAATAAATCATTTCAAACATTTACCCAAAATAAAGCCCTTTAACTTCAGGCCAATGGAACCAGAGGTGCTTAAATGCTCATTTGTTTCCAGGTTTTGGCCTACAAGAATATGTCATCCATGCAGCACACTATAGGACAGATAAATAACACAAAAACATATAACACATCTCTTCCATCTTTATTTGACCCTCTAACTCTAGCGCTCTCTATTCTAATTCTATTCTTTAAAAAAACTTGCCCCTTTTAGACATTTACTAACTAACACTAAACTAACACTAGCTTTTTGTATTCTATCTATCTGTTTTCGTTTTATTTATTATACAATTACCAAAAGCTAAAAAAAGGCCTCTAACACTAGCTTGCTCTATTCTTTTTCTATTCTATCTGTTTTCTTTTTATTTCTTATATAATAAAAAAAAAACTTGCTACGTGTGCTGCGTTAAGCTAACTGAGGCTTGTCATAGCACTTGTGTATCATTGCTCTTTTGTTGATTTTGACTGCTTTTATTGACCTCATTTGTCAGAGGCTTTGGATAAAAGCATCTGCTAAATGACTAAATGTAAATGTAAATAAATACTGTACAATACAACAAAGACACAAACAGAATAAACAATGCTTTATGTTCAAGCGAACTAACAAGTTCTGGACAATGTTTGGCTCCAGTGGATCACTAACTTCAGTTTTGAGAGCTCCCGCCGCTCTGGACTGGATTTTGCGTACAAACAGCCGCCTGTCAGACACGGCTTAATGAATAATGAATGGCTTTTTGATTTCATGGGGTCTTTAGCACACTCTTGAAGCGAAAGGAACTTGAATCAGGCCTTTAATTCACAGCTCACGCTTCTGTGTCTTGAGAAATGACCAAGCTGGCATTCTAGAGCACTCCACAGCAACCCCAGAAGGCAATATTCAGCGATGAGGCAGATGCTGTTTACCCATCCCTGTGACCTCAACCTCACTGTCTGCAGAAAGTCCCAGAAGCCTACAGTCCACTGAGGAGAAGCCAGGCTTCTCTGGGTTTGGCACTCCAGTTAATACACACAGCAGCACACTCTACATTAGTCCTGTTATGAGGGGGCAGGAGGACACGTGTCCACACATACCCCCTTATCCTTATCATCATCATCATCGTGGTCACGTCCATGCTGCTCAACACTGCATGCGTCAGCCGCACTCACCAACCGCAACGTCTTCAGAAAATCACGCTCCCTTGGCTTACCGGCGGGAAAGTGAGCACGAGAGAGAGACACAGACACAGAGACAGGAGGACACATGAGAGATGGACAGAAGAAGAACATGAGATGGACAGGAGACAAGGAGGAAAAGAAACAGGGTGTCACCAAAACAAAGGGGGCACTCCTCTCTGATCTGTGCATTTCCCAAAAACAACTATGGTTGCAAGTTCCATCATCACCAATAGAGTTCAATGGAACTAACGACCATAGTTAGCTGACGATGCTTTTGGGAAACGCACCCCAGATCAGTGCATTCAGCAGCCAAGCTAAAGAGCTCACATCACGGAAATAAGTGGATATATCAGTGACAGCTCCTGGAGGAATCCTCAGTCAAATCAACCTCAGTCACTCAGAGCTGTAAGCTGTTACAAAAAACATCATCATTTAGAAGTAATAGGCTATTTTCTGTCCTGTTTTTAACCACCTCATCAGAACGCTCTGTTAGAATAGCCGTGGAGGATTGTAGACTCGGAGGTAAACGCCCACTGCTGGGTTTGGCTAATAGTTGTGTATGTTTGACACAGAGCCGTTTGACAGGCTATGTCCTTCACAGACAGACGCTTGTGTGATTTAGGTTAAACCCGCATAAATACTCATATCAAACGATCTGTTTAACAGACAAAGCAATAGTGATCACGTAATAAAAACACTTGTGTGTTGTGACATTACTGTCGGATCCAATATAGTCGCACAGCATTGTCTTTTAGTTTCAATCTTTCTGAAAATCCTGCGTCGAATTGTGCCTTGTTTGTAAACGAATTCACTGTAAAATGACGTAAACAAAGGACTGAGTTCTTACTGATGCGGTCTGGAACTTAATTAAAAATAAAGTTCATCCATTCTTTCCTAATATTGGCATTAGAAGGAAGGCAATGCAAAGAATGTTTTTCCACAGCTTAGCACTGCACAGTGTCTTCTTGTATTCGGAGCCATCTTTATCGTTAGATTTCTGCATAGACCCGCACGTTCGCCTCTCTCGTAAACACTACATGTGCGAATCGGTAGCTATGTAGAATTGGTGGTTGGCGCTAAACAGGCAGCTATGTAAAATCGATGGGCGGGGCTAAACAGGCAGTGATGTAGAATCGTTGGGCGGGGCTAAACAGGCAGTGATGTAGAATCGGTGGGGGGGGCTAAACAGGCAGTCATGTAGAATCGGTGGTCGGGGCTAAACAGGCAGTGATGTAGAATCG